CCAGGCAGGGCCCGCGGCTGTTTTCTCTTCTTGAGGCATCTCGCAGGGCTCCTGGATGCTGAGCTGCCCGGGCCGGCTCTCCTGGTGTCCGGCCCCAGTCCGTAGTCCTGTTGGCACAGCCGTGTCTCTGCGGCAGCCGCACTCGGTGCGTCTGTGAACACCATGGTGCTCTTTGCTCTGGGTCACCTCGGGCTGGCAGTGGCTTTCGGGAACAGTATAAATCGGACAGCCGTGCGTCTGCTGAAATCCCATGCTCTAAAGCGAGTTATTTCATCTGCCTTACTGGCTCTATTTCTTCTAATTCGCTTCAAGCTGCAGATCACACCTGCTCTTTGGCAGTGGATTGTCACCGCTGACCTATGCTCAGCTTTGGATACCCTCCAGCCCCAGCGGCATTTAGTGCAAAATAAGTTGCAGCCTTTGTTTCCATTCATGTCTGAGTACTTTATTCCCCAGCTACAGAACCTTGCTCTTGTCCACATTAAACTTTCTCCTGCTTATTTTTACCCTCACTCACATTTCATCTGTTTCTTTTTACAAGTGTTTTCAATTGTGGTACAGCATGCTTGAAGCTGCTCCTAAACAGGAGCACCAGGTTTACAAAGGTACTCTTTTTCATTCAGATCAAGGGTGGAAGTCTAAATGTGTGTGATCCAAATTCAGCAGTGTCAGTAACCTGTGTTTTCTTTGTAGTTAGTCCTGGAAAAGTATTAGGATGTGTCCAGTAGGCCTGACCACATGCTAAAAAGCCTTTTATAATCAATATTGGGAAGTCAGGAATATGGGATAGGGATGATTTGCAAATATAAAATTTCCTGCTATATATTAGGGGCTTTCTTATCTTAGAACAAACAAGCCAAGCTTTCTGAGCCTTCTTGAAGCCTTCCCTCTGCCCATACACATCATCATGGCCCTTTTTCTGTTATTTCTTGTGGCTTAAATTGATCTGTTTTGAAGAGATAAAGTTTTACACAGGTGCTGATCAGGCCTCATCAGTATTTTCATACAGTGCTTTTAGTTGCTGTTGAGCAGTAAGACAATTCATGATTTCCCTGGCTAGTGCTTTACTGCTATCATAATTACTGTTTTCTGTCACACACCTGCCCCCTCCCTCCCCACCTTGTTTCCTCCACTTTGTTTTGCTTCTCAGGCTGTAGCCATTACTCTGACAATTCTCAAGGAGAAATGGAGCTGGGGAAATGAAAGTGTGGAAGAGCTTGAGTGTTAGCTGTCATCAGAGTGTCTCTTCCTAAGCACAGCTGAATAAATGTCTACTCAGAGATCTTCTGTGAGTCTGAGATCACAGGCTGTGTTCACAGCTTTCTACCACACAGCAGAAGAGGGCAGGCAAGACTGGAGGCAGTGCTGTTCTTATTTTCCTGCAGAAGACTGAAGTGAGTGTGCCAGGTGGGGAGGCACAGCTGATCCTCAGAACCACACCAACCACAAACAGCTGCTGCCTCCTGCTCACCTTTCAAGCCATTCAATCATCCCTCCCAGCTCAAGGGATAGGTTTGGTGTTTAAAGGAAAAGTTATCAAGGTGTTCTTTCTTGCAATGGTTGATTTTAAGAAGTTACCACTGGTAACTGGAAAATAATTATTTATTTACCCAAGTCAGGAGACTCTCTGAATTTCCCTGCTTTTTTCTATATGTTTTCCACTGAAGCAGCTGCAGAAGATTTCTATGCTATGAAGTCAAATTGCTAAGAGCCTTTGTGGTTGGAAACGTTCTCCTTACTTAAAATTCAGTGAAATTGGTTGGAAAATATTCTCAGGAAGCCATAAATACCTCCTAGTGTCTGATATTGGTATTCAGGGCATGAAGTCAGGACAAGGGCACAAGAGCACTTGCAAGACAGGGAGGGGGAAAAGGAAGGGAGAGCAGTAGTGCATGGCTCTTCTTTTTCTGTAGCTGGGAACTCGGGCTTGTATAGTTGAGCCAGAGGTCTTTGAATGTTTCAGATGAATGTGTCAGAGAATTTCTCTGCCTGCCACCACAGAGGTATAAAACAAGCACTTGCTGCAATGATTGCCAATCTCATGCACCCTGGGGAAAAAGACAACAAAAATCTTCATCTGAGCACATTCCTCCTCTCACTGGGGATTGAGTTGAGAGTGTGCATAATACTACAAACAACTAAAATCTTTGAGAGGAAACTTTCCCTATCTAATGCTGCCGGGATGAATGTCAGTGAAAAGGAAAGCAAAATTGCAAATATAGAGAGAGAAGAGCATTTTTATTAATATCAAGGTTTTATCACTATAATATAAATCATAGGCTCAGTTTAATGATTGATTTCTACAATAATGTTAAAATATCTTCTCCATAAAGAATTGAAACTCGTATAAACCTTATTTGGGTCAGTGAAAGTCTCACAGAGTTGCAGGGTGAATGCATGGATCCCTCACAATTATACAAAAGCAAGAAAGTAGCAATTGTAATTTAGGGCTTAGCATGTATTTCCTTGGCAAGCAGCTTCGATGGCCTGAAATATTGTTACTGTTCCTCTCTTGGAGGTTACTGCCCACACAGACATGGGAGGTCGCTTGTGCTGCTTCGGGGCTGAGCACTTGCAATGGCAATTCAGGCTGACATAGCAGCTGCTAATAGTTGAGAGGGATGGTAACATTTCCTACCAAGTGGGTTAACACTGCCTCTGTGACTCCCACAGTATTTAGGGGTTTGTGAGTGTTAAATTGTTACCTTGTAGAGTTGCTTTATATTTTACTATAATGAGCTGTTAAATAAGTGAGGGTCCCCAAAGGCTTTTTTGTATGGCTTTTGTCATCCTGTCAGTGGGGTGCGTGCCAGTTGCAGGAATTGGTGATTGATTTGCAATCCATAAGCTTGAATAGCTTTTTAAAAAAATATCTTTGCATACATGTGTACAGATTTACAGATTTTAACTAACCCTGAAGAAGCCTCAGTCACAATTTCATTCTGAGAGGACACCAACTGAAACTGTTGTTTTGATCATTCACAGGGTCAATGATTTGAAGACTGGTAATCTGATAGGAATTGACAAATATGGAAACAAATACTATGAAGACAAAAGAAACTTCTTTGGTACGTGTGCTAATGTGAACGCCTCCCACATAGCTTGTGTGCTTTCTGCTAGTGAAATGCAATTCATTGCCTGCCTGACTTTTCCTGCACTTGTCTTGTGTGAGTCTTACAGAAATGCTTTGGCAGCTCCTGTTTCTCTGTTGCATTCCTCACTTGCAAACACAGTCAATGTGAAACAATGAATATAGGATAAATATAAGCCAGTCATATGGTCTCTGTGTAGGTAAAGCTACATGATAATGTGACTGAGAGTTGAATTTGGTCCTTGACCTAAAGGCTGGAAGTTTAACAGGTGGGGAAAGAAGGAGAACTACCTTTAAAATTGCCTCACAGCTTTACTCACTTACATGATCACTTCAGGGCAAAGAGCACAGGTTGGTTTAAACTTGCTATTACCTTGAGTAAAGGGATTTTAAATCAAGCCTCTGGAGTACTTAAAAGGCAGCACCTAAAGCAACACAGGTGACACGTAAGCAATGACACACTGGTCACGCCAAGATGACTGTAGGGTAACTTGGAGTGTAACCAGGGAAAGCACTTGCTGGTTAACATTGCTTGGTAGTTTTGTGTAGCTGAAGTTTAGTTTAGTCTTAGGTTATCAGTGGCAATGTCCTTTTGGAAAAGACTCCTCATAACAGAGGGAAAAAACCCCAAACCTGTTTCTCAGTATGAATATTTGATTAGTTCTTATTTGCCATTATTTATACAATAGCCAATATTTCCTGCCTTGTGAGAGTGCTAGATTCAGTCATCTAGAACGACAGTAACAGTGGAAATACAGAAGACTTGGAAAATAAAAGCTGTGCTGGTTCAAAAATAAGTGCCCATTATGGTAGATAGTATCACTCAAATGTTTTCCCTTGGTTTTCCTGAATTCTCTCCTTTAGAAGCAAATAATTTGTCCTTTTGAGCTAATATGATATTTCTGTTTGTTTACTTAAGGTCGGCACAGATGGGTTGTATATACTGAGGAAATGAATGGCAAAAATACCTTCTGGGAAGTTGATGGAAGCATGGTGCCCCCTGAATGGTAAACTGTTTAGCTTAATAGTGTGAACAGATACCAATTGTGCAATTGCTTTATATTTTCTTATATTACAAAGCAGAAGGTGGAAAAAAAGTTTTTACGGTTGTAGCTGTCTTGCTATGACCAGAAGATTTCAGACTCATTACTTGTAATATTGAACTGCATTCATGTTTATTGCTCACTGTCCTGGCAGAGGCACTCACTGCTTCTTGGACTGAGAAAAGCATTTTGCCAGCCAGATTGAGCAGGTCAAAACAGTCTTTAATTTTCTTTATTACTTGTGATTCCCTCTTAATGGTAAGAAGTAAAATATTTGTTATTTCCATCATAAGCAAGAACATCAGGAACATATGGCAATGGTGGAACAACATTCCTTAACCCACAGCCACCAACAACATAATTGTTTCAATTTATATACACTGATGTGGTAGGAAACATTAAAGTGCCAGGATGCTCCATATGTTGACTGCTGCTTGACTATAATTTTTATTGAGGTTTTGTTTTCTTTTCATGCATTTCAGTAATAATTCTGTACAGCTTTGTGTTCCAGAAGGTCTCTGGCCACAGCTGTTGACCCTTTTTTTGTTTTCCTAGAAAACTGACACCACGTAAAGTAACAGTGCATACTAAATCTCTGTGTAATTCTTGAGGAACAGGAATAGCCCTTCAGCCACAAAGAGCAGAAGGAGACATCTAAGGAGAAGTGTTTGGGTAGACTGAGCAAACACTGGTTGTTGTTACTCCTGTGACAAATGTTCTGTGCCAAGGCTGGGATTGATCATAACATCTCCTAAACTGTAGCTCTCACTGGAACATTTGAGGAGTGTGTGGGTAGACTCTCTAGCTGGTCAATTTTGTTTCAAGCTCTCCCAGCCATACATTATGTTTAATGTGGTTAATGCTTCTTTCTGTCTTATTTGGCAGGAACTGAGTGTCATTGTTTTTGGAAGTGACATTAGAATCTCCAACACCAGGGTGTTTGTGCCTTGCTCTCTGCATAACTGTTGTTTGGTTTTGGTTGTTGTCCACTATTAGACTGTGCTGGGTTTTAAATTTTCTTTATTTTGAGCCACAGGTTTTGTTTCTTTTGGGTTTTATTTTGTTTTTTGGTTTTTTTTCCTTTGCTTGTGTTTATGGGATATTTGTTGCCTTTTCACAGACCTCAGTATAAAGTTTCTTCCTGAGAATCAAAGTGATGTTTCAAGGGTTAAGTAGCTTGTTTGCTTCACGGAAATTAATGAGGTAGAAAAACTTGTTTTCCTATCAATGTGGAAAAAATTCCTTTAAAAGAAGCAGTAAAGATTTCATTATTTTCAAGACTGGTGAGGGTAATGAGGCCCAGAAGGGTGAACAGCCTTGTGTTCTAAGGTATTTTTGTCAGGAAACCTAGTTGTGCAGTACCAGTCCGGTTTGTGGATTTGGGGTTTTTTTTTTGAGCAGGGGGGATAAGGAGGGGGTGGTGTTTCTTGCTGATAAATTTGTATGTCCCATGATAACATATGTTCATTCATGTAGGAATCCCAGTTTTGTGACACATCTAAATCACTGATTTAGATGTGTATTTCCATACAGACATCTTTAAAAATAGAAATATTTTCACTGGGAATAAATGCTGTCTCTTAAGACTTTTTAAAGATTTTTATCTGGTGCTACACTGCCTTAAATTTTTAACATGGCATAGACTTCTGAATTGAGACTGACAATATTTTGTACAAGCTGCTGTCAGTGTAACACTAGCGTTGTGCAACAGGTAATGAGTGGTTATTTTGGACCCAAAAATTTGTTGGAAATGAATTAAACTGTGTGAAAATACTTACAAAGAAAGTAATTAATCCATACTATAACAGTGTGATACATGTTTGCCATCCTTGGCTCAGCTGGGAAGTATTTAAAGTACTGCTGTTAGAGGTGGGTGTGATCTGAATGCTTCTCCTAAACACTGATGGTTTTACTCTGGCATTCAGTTAATTCAGCTCAGTTCTGTGAGTATGCTGTTGGATCCTCTGCTTGCAGTAAGTTCTGTGCCTTCAGGGTTGCAGAATGTGAATGATTGTTCAAGTTACAATCAAGTGAATCTCATTCAAAAAAAGCATTTTGGTATGTTGCAAAGTTCTGGAAATGACTGGAAGAAAATGCTACCTTTTACCCTTTTCTCTCAGATAATAGAGGAAAAGGAAAAGCAGCAAGAAAACCTCCTTGTATGTAATAACATCTTATAATACCATTTTAGGAGGTACTGAGTATTTTCAGTGTTCTGAAATAATTGATGTAATGTCTTCTGACAACGGATCTACTGAAATGGTACAGTCTAAAGGAAATCAGAGTGTTGTTTTGACATATGTCTGCTCTCCAGGGAATCGAGACTGTTGCTTTTAAAAAGTGTTTCCACACTAGAATATGTAGGCTTGTTGTTTATTCTGATTTAGTTGTTATTTCACTTCTTTTTTACTCTGGGTTTTCTTTTTTTTTTTTTGTCTCTAAAATCCAGATGTTGGTATCTACTTTGTTGGAGACAAGTTAATTAGATTGTTAAAAATTTTCTTTAATACTTGCCTTGGGAATGATGAATATTAATCTTCTTGTAATGCTTTACAAGATATTTTGACTTCTTTTTTTCTCCACACAAGTTAATCTTTTTCACTTTTAGACAGGGAGAGAAACCAATTTTGTCTCTTACTAGTGAGTGTTGTTTGCAGGAACTCAGGGCTTCCATTTTTGAGCACACTGATGGGGTGTGCTCTGTGAATGTATAAACAATAGAAGTTCAATCCGTTTATAGCAATGCCTGTGGGGACTCTGCTTAGTGTTTTCATGGATGTCTCCATTGCAGCATCACTAATCCTTGGCCTATGTTTAAGCTATTTGTTTATTGTATTTCTGGTGTAGTGTACTTTGGTTTGCATTTTGGCCAAATACTTTGAACACACAAATTGACAACTGGTGCGAGTGTGCATACTAGTTAAAAATAAATTGCTCTTTCAGTATGGTCCTGTGGGAAAAGAAGAGCTATTTTGAGAATAGTTTTTCCTTTTGTAGGGACACTACATTTTGCCAGGACTGTCTGGTGTATTTGTAGTGTCCATCCTTTGAGGTTTATATTCATATGATCCAAATCTGACATCTTTGGAAGGAGCTCCAGGAGTGCTTACCTCATATAGTGAAGAATTGCAAATTTACCTTCAGTTTAATAGTCTGCATCCTCTTTAGTTGATCTGACAGGGAGAAAGGTAGCACCTCACACCTAAAGTGCCAGCACACTAGAAAATGTAAGGAAATGTGCAGTTTCCTGTAAAGTGCTGCTTTTCAAGTTTGCCTTCAAGGAAAACAAAGCAGAAAGATTGAACAGAAAAAGAAGGGATTAGAAAAATTTCCACCCTTCTGGTAGCTTCACAATAAATTTGTGGAGGTTTAGAGCTCAATTAAATGCTAATTTGGTGTTTTCAGGTAAATTGGATGGCATCTCATTGCTATGGTGCAGTAACTTGCATGAGAAATTAAAGTTATCTCCCATGGTAAACAAATAAACACATTTGTTATCCCTTTTTCCTTCTCTGCCCTATGACCTGAAGCCACCTGTTAATTTCTCTTGTCTCATTGCAGCATGGCAAACGTGTGGCAAAAAGGGGATGTTCACAAGTTGGCAAACGTGGTGAGCTGGCACAGGCTGTGCCTGAACCTTGCAGAGGCACATATGGTCGTGGCTGCTGAGTTTGTGTAGCACCAGTTCTTGTTTGACAGCTTGTGCATCACGTAATTGGCTCCAGTCCCTTGCAGCTTCAGTTTGAAATCTACTTGCTTCTGAATATTTGTTACAACTTTGGGGAAAATTCTACATAGTCTTGAGAGCCTTTGAAGATTCTTTGAGGTGTCTTTAGTCCATTTATGCAAGAAAAAGTGCAAAGGCTTTGCTGGCCTCAGTCTGCTTCCTAGGGACTGTTCACTGATTCAGGAAGCTGCTCCAGCCTCTTCAGAGCTGCTTACATCCTCCTGATTTTTCTGTGCTCTGTGCAAGTTGTCTGCTTCTTTGTAGGTTTTTAGTCATTAATTGCTTTTGAATCTTTTTCTCCACGATGGATTTATAGGCAGAGTTTGTATAGAAAGAAATCTGGCCATCTGCAGGATGTCATATCTCTTTATTCATGCTGTTCAGTCTAGTGCATGAAAAGCTTTTCTTGAGCATCTAGGGGTAGAGTCTGAGATTTCAGAGCTTCAAATAATTCTTTGAGGCAGGTGTCAAGGGGAAAGTCTTCCCAAAATAAAGTTTTAAAGATTTTAAGTGGAAAGTGAGAGCTTTTGTTTAAGAGAACAGACTCTGCAAACCAGAATGCTTTTGTAAGTCACATATTGCGCTTCTAAGGGGAATCTTTTGTGACCAGGTTAAGCCCTGAAACTCCTAAATATAAGCATAATTCATAGTGGGTTGATTGTCTAAACAGACTTTTGAAATCTCTTCATGTTTTTCAATACCTGTGACTGTACTGGCATGTCTTATCAGTGAGCAATTTTATTTTTACTTTCCAGTGAGAAAATGTGATTCAAGGATTGGTTTTGCTGATCTGTTTAAATTTAAACTTAGTACCATGTTGATGTTATAGAAATCCAGAAAATCTTAAACCCAAAGATACTAATTACACAAAAATGCTGTATTTTAAAATATTTTATTGATTTAGTCTTTAGAAGCTGCAAAGCAATAGTTTAAACAGCAGGTGAAGCTACCCTGTTAAATGCTATTGTGAAACTTTTCTGATGTTTCAAGGAATGAATGTGTGACAAGCACACTTGGAATGACAGAAGTAGCAGACATCACACAGGCTTGGAATATAGCTGATTTTGGCTGAGCGTTACTACAGGTCTGGTGCTGTGCTTGCTGCAGCCTGGCATTCAGGGCCTTTGGAATGGAATTCTGTCTTGATAAGTTTTGTGCATGGCTCTAGGGGAGCATGAGGATGGTGAGGTGTGCTGACAGTGCCTACACAGGGATTTGTGTGCAGGGCCCTTCTCCTCTGTTAGCAGAAGCTTCACTAGGTGAACACGTGTGTGCTCTGAGTTGCCTGTGTCATGGTTTAACCCCAGGCAGCTGCTTGTTCACTCCCCCTCCAGTGGGACTGGGGAGAGAATCAGAAGGGAAAAGGCTGGAAAAGTCCCAGGTTGAGATAAGCATGGGTCAACAGGGAAAGCAGAAGTTGCACACAGGCAAAGCAAAACAAGAATTCATTCACTGTTCCCATGGGGAGCCATCTCCAGGAGAGCAGGGCTCCATCATGCGTATTGGTGACTTGAGAAGATAAATATCACCAGTCCAAACATCTCCTTCTACCTCCTTCTTCCCCCTACTTTATATCCTGATCATGCTGCCACATGGCACAGAATATTCCTTTGGGCACTGGGGTCACCTGTCCTGGCTGTGTCTCCTCCCAGCGTCCCATACAGCCCTAGTCTCGCTGACAGCATGGCAGCACAGAAAGCAGGAAAGGCCTTGGCTCTGTGTGAGCATTGCTCAGCAGTAACGAAACCATCTCTGTGTTATCAGTCCTGTGTTCAGCACAAATCCAAAACACAGCCCCATACCAGCCACTGTGAGGAAAATTACCTCAGCCCAAAGCAGCACAGTCACATAAGAGTTAAATTTACTGTATTCATATCCCTTGCACGTTGCAATAAGAGCCTTAATTTTTATTTTAAAAAAGAAAATTAACTCTGCCCTGGCCAAAGCCAGCATATGTTGCAGTAAGCAGTTCTGAAAAGCTGGGGCTCCTCTGGAGTGACACTGCAAAGCATTTTGAAATGCAGTCCTTGAGTCAGTAGAAGCAGAATGGACTGTTCTTTTGCCCTCTCATGCCACAAACTCTGTTTCTGTGTCAGCAATGGAGAGCTTGTTGGGTGTGAGCACAGGAGCCCTCCTCTGTCAGGTTAGCTTTTCTGCAGTGTTGCTGCCAACCCTGATGCAGGCTGTCACAAGACCCGTGATACCTGAGGTGATGTGAAGCACAGCAGTACACAGAATTATTCTGACAGGTGAGAATCAGGCAAGAGAGTTCACCCAAGGTGAGAGCTTGGGGTGGTGTGGCCAGGGCATTCCAGAGGCTGCTTAAAAATACCAGGGTTAAAACTGAGCAGCCTCTAATCCTGTATCATCAGACCACTTTGTGATTAGTAGTGCTTTGGGCCCACCTTTTTCCAGACAGAAATTGTTAGCCATTTATCTTTTTTTTTTAGTAAAGGCAGTGTGAAGTGTTCCCTTTGAATGAGGCCAGATTTACAAAGGAGAGCAGATAGAGGAAGAGCATTATACAATTGTGTAACTTCCAAACTCCATAGTGGATCATTTTTCCCGCAGGAAGTTGTTTTTTGCCTCTAAATATAGTTTTTTCTTCTTAGTTTTAAACAATCTTATGGTTCTATCTTATTTTATATTGAAACCAGTTTCCTGGAAGCCCTTATTCCTACAATATGTGGCTTTAGTTTTGGGGTTTTGTTTGGTTTTTACTTCTAGAAAAAGAACTTTAGGCTGACACTTTTTTTTAAAGTGATTTTTTTGTACTGAAGTTATAGCCAAAGTTGTGATTTTTTTTTTAAATACACGTCAAGAAGCAATTTGAAAAGATTACCAACCTTCTGTAGAGCTCTTTGGATTTAGAATATACCTGTCAGTCTATTTCTCACCACTTTTATCATGGTTTTGTTTTGCTGTATAAATGAAGTGTGCTGGATTTGTTGCTAAGGGCTGAAGATGCAATTTTTAGGTTTTCTAATAGAACTAGAAAAGAGGACTTCATATTTTTAGGTCAAGTCTTTGCAAAAGCTGATTAGCAGAAATCTCCTTAATTCTACCTCAGTAAAAAAATAGATAAGCTTGCAAAAATGTCATAACCTTGCTTTTGTCATAACTACACACTGTATGAAGTACATGTAAACTGACAGATAATTAAAATGTAATTCATATTTGAAAGTTTCTTCGGGCACTGAAATAGGAAAGGGATGAAAGCAATTCAGTTGGTCCCTGCTGCAGTGTTTCAGTAAATCGTTAGGGAAAATGCTTTGCTTGATCATTACTGTTGCTTACACAGAGAAAGACTGACATTTAGTTCATAGGTAAAGGCTAATCACTGGAATCACTTGGTAATTACCCTATTTGATTGGTATTAATCACTGTGTTGTGCAGGCAGTAAATATTTATGTGCTTGTTTTAGGTGTACTTACGTTGTTAATCTGTATCCCAAGTGGCAGCCTCATGTATGCTTTGAAAATGGCATGGAAATTGTTGTGCAGCGTAGGCTTCTGGTAATTGAAAACAAAACAAATCGCCATCACCTAACAAAGAAAAAGCCCAGGCAACAAAACCAAACGTGGTGGTCTTGTCATTTGTAGTGCTGCCTTAACCTGGCTGCCAGTGAAGGTTGCACAAACGGGTGACGACAAACTCTGCCCAAATACCGAGCCCACAAAGGAACAGGAAATTTGAACTTAGGTGTGCTTTCAGTTGCTTGGAGGCAGAACTGTTACTTATCAGTTGTGCTTGTGAAACTAATTAAAATCAATATCCTGTTGTCTCATTCAAAGTCACACTGGATTAATTTTTTTTTTTTTTTTCCCTTCTCAGAAGAAATACTTAGTGTCTCTTCAGAGGAGGACCCTTGGGAGTCAGGAGATAGGCTTGGTAGACATCCTGTGCTGTTCCTTAATAACAATATGTCTTTTTCCTCTTAAGGCATCGCTGGCTGCACGCAATGACGGACGACCCTCCAACCACTCATCCACCAGTTGCTCGTAAATTTATCTGGGAGAAGCATAAATTCAATGTGAGTGGCACTCCTGAGCAGTACGTGCCTTACTCCACTACTCGCAAGAAGATACACGAGTGGATCCCACCCAAACCAGCCAGCAAATAGCAACAGCAACAGCATGACTTGGCTCAGCTTGGGCTTTCAGTGTAAATTGTATTTTCACTGGTTTTCTTCGGAATAAAAGCCTCCTATAGGAATTGTACTTTAGTTTATTGAATTGGGGGCAGGAAACAAGTGAGAAAATTTTGGAAATAGGACAGAATACATGACAAGTCTTAATCTCATCAAGATATTGTGCTTTTTCTCATATTGTCAGTGTCCTGTCTTCACATAAGCAGCTCTCTTTTTAGCATGATAATCATTCCTGTGATAGTTACTCATATTTGTGTCACTCAGCAGAATACAATGTGTATGCATTTGAAATACAGATTTCTCATCTTCAACATCATCTTTTACCGTCTCTGCATGGCAGATAACGCACTCTTCACACACTATTTTGGGAAGCCATCTCTATAAATTTTTATAAGACAAGTTAGAATAGTTTGAGCAGTCAGGATTATAGTTTTCATTCATAAAGTGTTCCTAAGTATATGCATGAGTATGAAAAATGCATTGCTGTGTTCCTGTATGGGATGAAACATAATATAAAACTTGTAAGGCTACATGAATCAAATGACATCTCATCCATAAGGGAACTCAGCCATCAGAAGAGGGCCCTCTGTCACAAAAATATCTTTTCCGTGCAGGTGCACTACAAGATGTTCTCATAAGAGTCTGAGATGAACTGTTTGCTGTCTTGTGTCAAGATTTTTAAAGGTCTTTGGAAGTTCAATATTGCACATCTTTTTAGGAGGTAGAAAAGTAAAATGTACCAGAACCCAGTCTCAAAAATATGAAGCTGGCAAGTTCATATTTGAAAGAGAGCTGTTTGGGACTGTGGCTTTTTTTTGTATCTTGCTAATAGTTTACTTTTATTCCAGTCTCCTTATGTATTTTAGCCAAGTTTGCCCTCTCCACAAGGCTTCCTGTACCTGATGCCCTACTCTGTGGATAACTGATAGGAGGTGTGCTCACCCAGCCTCTCATTCACCCCAGCACTTCAGCTGGCTGGGGAAGAAAAGAGAAACTTCATGGGTTGAGAAAGATGGGAAGAGTGCTTGCTAGTTACCATTGAGAGCAAAAGAGACTTTAATGCCAATTAAAACTGCATAGTGAAAAAGTCATAAACTGTAAAACACCGCCCTCCCTTCCTATTTCTTCACACCTTCACTCCTGACTCCTCTGCCTCCTCCTCAGGGAGTGATGGTCAGTCTGTAACAGCTCTTGTGGGCTCTGCTGATCCTGCCCCTGCTTCAGCCTGGCTCCTCTCCATGACCTGCAGTGCTTGTGGAATAAAGCCAGTATGGGTTTTCCACGGGCTGAGGGTCCTGTTGGGAAATGCCTGCTTGCTGCTGTGGATTCCTCCTGGGGCTGCCAGGAATCCCAGCTCTGGCAGCACCCCCTCACCCTCCTCCCGCTTTCAGCTTGGTGTTCAGGTGACTGCTGCCCACTTCTTCCCCCCTTCCATCCTCTACCTGTGCAATATTTTTTGCCCCACCTCAAATCCTCTTTCCCAGAGGTGCCCCCATTTGGCAGCTGGACTGAGCCCTGCCCTGTGCTGTGTTGGCTGCAAGCAGCACAGGGCAACCTGGCCTCTCCCCACTGAGGTTCCTTATTAAATCAAATTCCAGATTAATTTATTGTTTAAAGGTGGGGGTTTTAGCTTTAATTTCTTTAAATTAGTTCTTGTCTTTAAATTAGTAGGATGTAGCACCAACATCCCTTAACCTATCTAATTAGAAAAGGATAATGTTTAATTTACTTTAAGTCAGCAAAAGCACTGGGCACAGCTGAAAAGCAATTTGAACCATACTGAGTAGCATAAGTGGAAAGGACTTGTTTAACATTTTTATCTTGATGGATTATTTCACCTTAGGAACAAAGTTTGCCCTGGTGTCAATGGAGAGCTTCATCACTAACACTCATCTATACAAGTCCTGTGGGCTCAAACACAGGTAGAGCAATTAACTCTTAATTATTTTTTTTGCCTCTATTTCTCCTTAATGAGTTTTTTTTCCAATTTCATTTGTCTTCCTTTGTCCTGTGGCTTTTTGGACTGCATCCTAAACACACATCAGGAGGTACATTTGGGAATGAGATTCTGTACTTAGGGGATAGGCAGTAACTCGTCCTACATGTTCCATGCTGAAAGGAGAGATCTCAGCCTGTTTGTCATTTTGCTGTCACCTGGAGCAGTTCTGAACAACTGTGTGTGCAGCAATGCTACATAGAAAGAGAAAAATGAGCATGTCCTCCTGGCCTGCAAGCAGGCCTAGGATTCATTACCTTGGTTTAGAAAATATCATCAATCCCATTTCTGGAGAGGACAGAAACCTGCTCATCCTGCTTTAACCAGCAATTGCTGGATTTTAATGCGAAATTTCAGCAACATCTCTTGTAGCATTGCTCCTCCAAGGTAGATTGCACAAGGCACATACAGGAAATAAAGCATATGCAGAAGAATCAGTGGTCTTCTGCTGGGCTTTCTGCAAACACTTCTGCAATTCACTTTTCTTATCAGCAACCTCGCTCAGTTACGGAAGTTCACCTTTGCTCATGACATCTGCTTCAGTATTCAGGTTCAGTTCTTTCTGGTCTGAATGACATTTTGAATGCCAAGCTGGCCAAGTGTCACAGCAGTATCTTTAAACAACTGCAACCAAAGCACTGACAGAAATATTCCCCTTGCACTAAATGTGAGTTTTAAAAGAAACAAATTTCTGAGATGGGAACAGACTCATTAAGAAGACAGGTACCTCTTCCAGGAGCAGCAGCTGAAATCCACTTTTTATTTTGAAATTGTGCCTGTACCAGGAGCTTTTCACACCCCCAGGGTCCTGAGCAGCCCTTTGCTGTAGCTGCCTGCAGGCTTTGCTGTGCCCCCTGCATGCTCAGCCCCGTGTGTGGCACGGTGCCCTTCCCTCCATGGGGCACTGCATCCTGCCTCCCTGCTGCCTCTCAGCATGGCTGCACCTCTCTGCCCTCAGCTGAAACTGCTCAGGACATGGTGGATTGCAGAACAGTGGTGAAAGGAGCTTCAGGAGAGCATCTCATAACCATTCCAGCTACAGCAAGAGGAGAAATCTTTGACAGGCAGGGACATCCTAGGGCATTTAAGGTTGCTGAAAGGAGAGGGCAGGAGGCCTTGTCACTTCCTGCCCAACTAGTGCCATACTACTGACTCCCACGCACTGTGCCCACCTGGCTCCTTGAAGGCCCACTGAGAGCATTCAGATGTTCACCAACACCTATTTCTATGCCATCTAACTTCAAGCTTCAGGTTTTGGGATGTTTCCTGCTAAAGCTGGTGTTGGGAAGCAGTCTTGATTGGAATTACAGGGGCAATTATTTTGGATAGAGCTGAAAGCCATCAGCCCCAAAAACTGAAGTACCTGTTTTCCACAGCTGTGATGCATTCAGAGTGAAACCTTTAATTTACTAATTCCTTGGGGCCAATTATTCTGTGGCAGCTGGTGGGGAGAGAGGGAACAGATCCTTGCTTTGCTCAGAGGTTAAGACCTGCAAATCTAAAGGCTCTGCTTTCACATGGTGCTTACAAGGAGTGTACAAAAGCAGGAACTTCAATGTGTGGGTGAAGTGGCAGCCTTTAAATGGCACTGCAGGTTCCTCACACAAATCCCACAGCAGGAGCTGGGTTGCACCAAAGGGAGCCTATCTCAGTGCAAGCTCTGAGAGCAGCCCATGGCAGTGGGGAAGGGCCCAGCAGGTGTTGAGTCCTGGAGACCTGCTGGGCTTTGAACACCACGCCCTGGTTGCCAAGCAGAGCCAGGCTCTCGTGCAAGAGCTGATGCTGACTTAGCTCCAGCATGGAGCCAGCAAGGGGAGTGCTCTGCTGTGTGCACCATACCCAGCTGCCAGCAGGACTGTGCTCAAGCTGCAGAAGAAATCAGGGCTGCCAGAGACTTCCCTTTGCTGAAGGGCCAAAATCAGGTTTGGCTATTTCCTTATGTTTTTTAATCACTTGAACCCGTGCAATGTCACTTCCCATGCTGATGAATTTTGCAGGTGGTCTTGGCTTTGTTCACAGGCAATAAACATAAAGAATTCAACCAGGATCCTTGAGGAAAAAAAAGTATTGTTTTCAAAATATACATATGTAATATTCATCTATGAGAGGGTCTGGTTTTTTGAAAAAGAACCTTAAGACTTAGATTTATACATCTCCTCTCTTTTTACAGGTTCTGACTAATCATTTATTTAGTTTTAAATATTATCAGAGTACAAAAAAATTAGAACATGAATAAATATACTTCAATCAAGATCTGTATACACAAAAGGGCATGGACACATAGGTAGGAAAAGAAGTACTACATTTTGCATCAAGATTATATTTAGGTGGAAATTTGCATTACAAAGTTTCTAACAAAGAATGCTAAACTTTCTTAAAATCAAATTATATAAATGTGCAATGCTAGTTTAAAACTCACATTCAAATCAAAATTTCTCGCTTTCTAATTAAAATAATTAATTTCTTCATTTCAATTTGTTTATCCTGCACTATAAACCAGAAAAGGCAGAAGAGAATTAAGCAAGAATTTTTGTTTGTGTGCATGAGTGAAAATAAAAGTTAGTGGCTAATTTTTGCCTGGGAATTTAGAGCAGGAGCAATGATCATTGGACAGCTTCACAAACTGCTTCTAAAATCAAAATTGTTTTGGAATTTGTTCCCATTAAGAAGGATATGCAGGAAACTGAAATTTTAGGAGCCTAGCTTTTTCTTTATGTAAATTACCCCAAAACTACAATATTATTTTAGTGTAATTTAATCTCTGAAATGACCCCAAACCCACATCATTATTTTAGTGTAATTTAATCTCTGAAACAATAACAGAGTTACAAAATCTATTTTAATGATCTGTAGTATTGTTAACATCACATAAATCACAGCTCAAAAGATTTTTGTTTTTCACTGATTTATACTGCTAGAATTCATATCTATTTCATTCTCTTTGTCTATGATGTAATTCCTTTCCCATTCTTCTAATGGACTACTCAATTTTTCCCTGTGAGATTTAAATATTAGTTTTAGGGCAAGTGGTTGTAGGACTGTTTTATATCCTTCATAGCCCAAAGGATTTTTAGTTAATGGAATAACAATCTATCAAAACACAGCCTGAATGTAACAGATGAAGTCTCACATGGTCGAGCATTTAGACACAGGCCTATTAATAGTTTGTTTTTTGAGGGTAACCATCCATAAAAAATCCAGTGAGGCAAAATCAAATTCAGCAATATGTGTGTGGCACTCTCCCTTTGTCTGGCAGTGGCCAGAGAAATCAAGAAAACAATAGCATGTTTTCATTTGAAGCAGCTGTGTTAAAAGAGAGGATTTATTTACCTTGGATGTTGGGGAATTCATGGATCTGCTACACTTTCCAAAAAAAAAAAAGATAAATGTATGAGCCTCAGACACACCTCACTGGCCTGCAGCACAGCAGCAAGATCCCCGTTGGCACAAGAAGAACATTTTTGTTATTTGGTGTATCTTCACTTGACCCTGAACATCTTCAGTCTGACCTCCACATCTCTCTGGGACCCAGCCTAGAATGGCTTGGTGCTCTCAGCACAAAGCCCCCTGAGACAGAGCCCTCTCTGCCTCTCACAGGGACATCACCTCTGAATCTCAAACTGAGCCTCAGCACCACGAGTCCAAACCAGGTGCCCACTTCTTGGCAGCGCTCTTGGCCTTCTGGGTACAGCAAAGCTTCATTTCTGAGTGTCTGTGCCCCAGAGAGCCCGTGAATAATGTGAATCTAAAGCAGAAGAGCAAGTCTGGAAATCGAAACAGAGGCCAGCAAGGGATTTGCACTACCTTTCTTCTGTTTCATGGACAGGGCAAAATGCTGGTGGTACCAAGGGCTCTGCCCAGCACCTGCTAAGTCATGGTGGTTACCTACCACCAAAATCTACCTGGCTTTCCTTTAACTCCTGCTACTTAATTTGCATTCCCCTCCAGTGGAATCTGGTTGCATTTTTATAAATAAGATTTTTCAGTTTGAGTCTCTCTGTCCTGGAGTGTTGTTGCTGTAAATACTGGCAGCAAAAGTTAATTTGTGTTTTATCAACTTGAAATTCTTTCCAACAGACTTCAAATTATAGACTTCAAATAATTTCTGATTGATTTTTTCTGATTGATTTTTTTCCTTCAAAAAATTCCTTACACATCTGTTAGTCTTTGAGGTTTTTAAAGCTTCAATTAGCCATTGAAGTTTAGGATTTTTGAAAAGCAGCAACAGAAGCTGATATTTCCAGGATCACTTCAAACTGCAGCAAATAGCAACATGTCTTTTGACACATTTTAAAGGCCAGAACTTGAGAGGGCAAAAATTAATTTAAAACCACACTATCACTTGCTGTAACCAATTATGAGAGCTGAATGAAGAATTAAATTGATCATGGCTATTTTTAGTTTGCACTCATCAAAGAGGGGTGCAAACTTGCAGTCAGTCAGTCGCAGGCAGGGGCACGGGTGGCTGCTGTGGGCTGGGGACACAGTGCTGGCTGCAGGCAGGGCTGTGCCTGCCCCAGCAAGGGCTGCTCAGCACCAGGGCTGTCTGCTCTGCTCCTCTGCAGCTTTCTGGGCTTGTTTACATCTGTAACGACAAAACACAGGCGCAGAGATTCATCCCAAATCTAAGATCCAGCTTTGCCCAGTGACTGGGGAATTGTGTTACCCACTGCAGCTGGGTCGGCATGCACTGCCCCTGTGAGGCTCACACAAACCCACAGCAACCACTCCCCAACACAAAGCGCAGAGATGGGAAGTGGATACCTGGCTCTGTTTACCCTTCACCCCCAACAAGTCTGTCCTCCTGGCAAGGTGCCAGCCCCTCACTTGGATCCAAATAATTGTTAGAACATCTATCAGCTCTGTGCTAATAACAGCCTTCCTCCTCAGAGCTGGAAAGCTTCTCCAAAGCATAGTCCTCTCTGCTGCTGGCCACTCACCACTGCAGCTTACAAAAGAAAGAACAGCAAGTAACTGCTGTGTAACTCACCCCCATAACAGCCACCTTAGAGCTACAGGGGGCTGGCAGCAGCCCTGCCACCTACTCACCCGTGCTATGGCTGCAGGCTTGTGTCTGGCAGCTGAAGAAAAGAACTAACTGGTTTTCAAAAAGCAAACATCAAAAACAGTGAATGTGTCCATCATGGTGAAGAACTGAGTGGATGCTCCAAACCCAGCCTGTGTGGGCAATGATATATCTGCAAAAGAAAAGCAGTGAGCAGCAATTAATCTGTGTTGTAGGACTTGTCTAACTACATTTAGTAAACTTCATTTCTTTTAAAGCCCAAGTGGGTTCTTATCTGTGCTTGTACCTCCTATTAATCAAGATTTTAATTGTTGTTTGTACTCAGCAAGCCATGATCGACCATCCATTTGTCTAACTCCACACTGACCAAAATGAGTGCCCTCATGTTACAGCCCACAATTCCACAGTATAATTACCTTCGTGCGCTGCAATTAACAAAACAGCATTTGTTACAGAAAAATATTAAGGAAAAAAACCACTTGTATCACCACCCTAAGCTGCCTAGAATCAAGTGTTTAAAAGTACTTCAGTACTTGAGTGTTACTGTTCGCACACGGCTTTCAGAGAAGACATCAGCAGGCATTTAGGTAATTTCTGAGCTTGTCAGTGTTAACAAGAAGCCGCGAGTGAATTTGTGGGACTACCATGTCCTCCTTTCTGTCCTCCTCTTTCTGTCCATCTCCTCTGCTTCAGTTAAAATAACATTTAAAAATGAATTATCAATTACAATAAACTGCTCTAAGAAAGACAGTAACCTCCTAAATAGGGTTAATAAACACTTGCTCATTTATATAGGCAAGTTATACAGGAACGTTTGTGCTTATCTCATGAGTTTTCTTAAGACTGTAATTGTCTTTTGGTAACTATTTAGCTTTTATGTATCTTAGATCTACAGGGGACCCATTCTCACCTCCAGCATTGCCTGAAATTCCCACTTCTCTTATTTTAATCCCCAAAAGCCATGCCACAGTAGGTCAAGAAAGCCCAGACCCATGGGTTGCATAAATGTTTTGTCTTTGCATTTTACTGAAGCCTCTAAGAGCACTGAAAAGCTTTTCACTTGCTGTGCTGGATAGTTCAATTTTTGCTGGGAAGCCCCATGGTGTTGAGAGCTCTGTAGCAACAGCTGGTGAGATCCAAGAGCAAACTTTTCCATGCAGCTTGGTTTCTTCCCAGCAGGACACAGTGCTGTTACAGCAATGACTGTAGCAGGCAGTGGGAGGCCAGTAGAGTAAACAGATTTTGTAGTTGAGGGCAAAGCAGGGGGAAGCTCTCTGCAGGTAATAGTTTTGCTTCTCTTGAACAGTCGATGAACTTGTGTTATTACTCAGAGGTGCATCTGCGCATCTTTCCTGCTTCCCTCCAATTTTCTGCAGGCTATTGGCCACCTTCCATCCTGTGCTGCCTCATTCCAGGGGCTGCCATTGCAGCTCTGCATGCTGCCTGCTGTCCTCTCTCACACCAGCGGCCTTCTGCCTCTCCCCTTTCATGTAATCCTGCAAGGCTGCCCCTTCTGGATGTTAATGGTGCTACACTCATCACCAATGGAGCTGAGTGCTCAATGCAAATGCATCAATGCAGTGGCCAATACAATTAATGATGGTCTTTCATTTTCATCCCCCAGGAACCTTCCTAACAGGAAGATTCCATGATTACTTACCAGTATGAAGGTGCAAGAGGTGTAAGATTTCCATTTTATTTTCCTACCATGTCATTCTTGGCCATTTCCCTCTCAGCTATCTGTGACTTTTGTCAGGAAAAGAGACTGGAAATGTCTCCCCTTTTTCTGCTATGTCAGATGTCCATGAATTGAACAAAGTAGACCTAAGAGCTTGATTTGTTTGTTTTCTAAAGTTGTTGTTTGACAATTCAATCCGTCCTTTTAGAAATTACTGAGTTGCATTTATTTAATTCAAAGTTGAGTGAACTGTCTCATTTGGCTCAAGCCTATCTCTCACAAAGCATCCTGTCTGGCTCTGTGGAACTGTCTCTCCTTGTTCATGTGTTTGCTAAGGAGGCATCTGTACAAAGCTGGGCCTAATTTCTAATCGAATTTGGCTGGCTCCAGCTTTCAGCCACTGGATCCTGTTGTCTTTCTTTGCAAGCTGTGAGAAGTGATGACTGCCCAGTATTTTCTGCCTAGGAAAGCACTTACACTCTGTAAGCAAGTAATTTCTCACTTTTCTTGTTGACAAGCTAAACAGATGGAACCCTCCATCTCTCCATGAAAAGCACTTTGCCCTTGTAATGTTTTTTGTGGTTCTCTACCCTCTCTATTTTTTCATCAGTCTTTTCAGAATGAGGACTACCTATCATACCAATCCTTTAAAAAAGTTGTAAAATACATCCTTCTCCTCTTGCTTGCTTTACTCCCATTATGCCTCCAGCACGTAGTCAAGGACGTGCTAGACATTTTTGTTTGCTTGCTGCAGGATTGCATGGGGAACTCAGATTGTTCTGAGGGCAGTGGGTGAAGAGGTCCATCCAAGAGGCTTGGCTGTGGTCTAAGGTTTTGGTTGCCTGAAATATGTGCATGTCAGCATAGACACATACTCAGGTGTGGTTTATGCCTCTGCCCACGCACAGGAAAGGGCTGTGCATGCAAACACCACCTGCTGCAAGCCTTTTCAGTATTTGGGATCCCTAGGGAAATTAAGACTGACAGTGGCCCAGCGTATGCCTCCAAGTAGTTCCCAGAGAGTGTCCAGCAGTGGGGAGTGGAGCATAGAACAGGCACTCCCCACTGCCCCACCGGTCAAGCTGTGATCGAGCATGCCCACCATATGCTCAAACAAGTCCTGGCTAGGCAGGGCAGTTCTGCAGCATGGATGAACTGCAACAAAAGCTTTGCAAAGCCCTGTTTACCATCAGTTTTTTGAGTTGTTCATTTGAAAACATGAGTCCTCCAGTAGTATGGCATTTCCATAATAACAATTGGTTTAAGTTGTCACAGCATCCACCAGTTCTCATTAAGGACCCAGAAACTTGGGAAACCAAGGGTCCTTATGAGCTCATCACCTGGGGGTGTGGTTACATGTGTGTATCCACTCCCTCAGGCCCTCGATGGATACCCAAAAGTGGGTAAAACCTTTCGTCCCCAAAAATCCAGCTCCAGCAGATGGGGATGAGAAGCAAGCAGCTGTCGCCTCAAAGAGACGACACCGCCAGAAAGAGGAGGAAGAATCTTCCTAAAAGAGTTAGCTGCATTCCAGCAGACCCATGAACTTGAATGTGTTTTAAAAAACATGTTTGTTTTCCTTTGTAGAACAGAAAATCTACCTCCTGCCTAACCTCACGATGAGCCCTGTCCGAGTTGCCATCCTGCTCACGCTGAGCAGTCTGACAGCTGCGTGGATCATTCCCCAGCCACGACAAAACATCTGGGTGACCCTGGCACAGGCGCTCCAACAGGAAAACATATGCCTGTCCACAGCAGCAGCGAAAGACCCAATGTCTACCTGCCTGGTAGGGATTCCGTTGCAAGCTGGAGAGTTTCCAGCCAAGTCTGATACACCTATGCCTGACCCAAGTCCCAGATCCCATCACGCACAACCACACAATACCCACCAGAAGCAGGCTGTAATGATTAGGAACCCCATAGAAGAGTGGCTGCCAAAGTTACCCAGAGCTGCTCAGGAGCCCCAAGAGTTAGAGCTGTTGGGCTCCTCACCTGCACCATACTGCATACACTTCTTCTTTATCCAACTTTCCAACACCAAACCTTTTAACAACATCATACAGTATCAAGAGGAATTCACTGGCAGAAGGTGGTGTAAGGTTTTAAGCCATGTCACAGCAGATAATCCGTATTATTCACACCCCAAAAGCCTCCCTAAAGGTTTGTTTTTAATTTGTGGGGATCGGGCGTGGGCAGGAATCCCTTCTCAGCTTTTAGGAGGGCCATGTACCATCGGGCGGTTGTCCCTGCTGGCACCCAACCAAACCATGATCGGCGAATGGACTCGAAAGAACAATTCGGTCAGCAAAATTCAAAAGAGAAGCATTGACAATTTGGACCCAAATTGTGATGCAGAAGTCTTCCATTGGGCCAAATCAAAAAAAGTCGCTGTATCCCTGTTCCTTCCATGGGTTGCAGCAGCCAAAGCTCTAGGTGAATTGGGCCACCTAGAGTGCTGGATGGTCAAACAGGCAAACTTGACATCCACGGCCATCAGCTCCTTCCTAGAGGATGAAGAGATTACGAGGCAGGCCAAACTCCAAAATCGTGCAGCCATAGATTTCCTCCTGCTGCTGCATGGACACGAGTGCCAGGAATTTGAAGGACTGTGCTGCTTGAACCTAGCATCAAAAGCACCCAACATCCATGCAGCTCTCCGAGAAGTGAAGAGCCTGATCGGACGAGTCAAGCAGGAATCTGAGGACTGGTTCAGCGGATTGTTCAAGGACTGGGGACTCTCAGGGTGGTGGACTTCTGTAATTAGGACAATTCTGTTGTTTCTTGTTGTTCTTTTTCTAGTCGTGTTAGCGTTCGGAATTCTACGTCACATACTTTTAAAGGCTATCAACGGTTTGGTCTCCAGTACCTCAGAAGTCACCTGCACAGAGTTTGTGGCCCTAAAGCAAATTGACAGGCCTGCAAATGATGAGTGGCGGATGAATTCATAATCTGTGTCAGAAATAGGCTGATGCTTTTCCTTCTAATTTTTTTTTAACAGAAAAAGGGGATGTGTTGTATTGCACTAGATAGTTATTTAGTTGTTTGCACTAGATAGTTATTTAGTTGTTTGCACTGGATGTTTTGGTAATTTGCACTGTTCACATGATTTGTATCCTATGACCTCATGGTCTTCTTTTTCCCCCCTCTAAGTGTTAGCCCTAGTGGTCTCTTCCCTGGTCAGTCCTTCCCCCCACCACTTGTATCCCATTGGTTGTGGCCCTCCTCCTCCACCCCCCATTCCCCCAGGTATAAAAATCTCCTGCCATGACCCATGAGGCCTCTTTTCCATGTGGATCTTCCCATCTGGTGGTTCTCAAGACAATAAACAGAAGACATCTGTTCCCACGTGGAGAAGAGCACTTCTGATCTTTTGCTTTCGTCTATGTAAGATCGTGTGGGCTGAGGTCCATAGCTAGCCGGAGCTGGACCCCAACAGCCCATCCAAGACACGTTCTTACAGGCTGGGCTCCTCAAGTTCCAGTGCTGAGTACTGCTCACCACGTGCTCTGGACCTACCTTGTACCCTGACATTCCCATTGCACCCATGTCCTGCTGGTTGCAGCCCCAGCTCCACTCTCAGACACCTCCCTCTAAGCAAAGAGCTCCTGAATTACACATTAGCAAACACAGAGGGAGGACAACCTCGAGCATACACTTGAAATATAGAGGGAAGAGCTAAATAAAACTATACTCATGGGAACTGTTGTTTCTAAACAACTTAGCAAGGGCTTTTCTGACATGGTATATTGCTAGCTTTCCATTAGGTTTTAGAGAGTACAAAATTAACCCCCTTGCAATCACCTAGGTGTGTTACATCTCCACAGGTATCTGTACAAACCTGCAATCCGAAATGATGAAATCTCATTTCGTCAATTGACATTCTGTGCCTATTGTTCATTCTTGGAGTACTGTCACTCTTTGTTGTCTCTACCAGTGTGTCTTTTCTACACTCCCTGTCCCTGCTAGGGAGTGTCCCTGCTATTTATCTTAGTCAAGTCACTTCAACACTTTATATACTAGCACAGCATAAGTATTTCAGTCTCCTGGAATTCCCCCCAGTGCCTTCAAAATCAAGGTTAGTGGAAAAGAATCCTCAGCCAACTATTCTATTACTCCTGAGGTTTGTGGGCATCTAAACATGCCAGATTATCCTACATGTTCATCCTACAAATCTTCCTCAGTTCCTGACAATCAAAGAACAAATTCTCTCTAATTTATATTAATTGTAGGAATCCTATTTTTTTCCAAATAAAAAATAAAAATATTAAGCTGCTCTGTTTTATTAGCATTTTCGCCACTCAGCTCTGAACCAGCCACTCTCCCAAGATGTTTGGCTCTCTGTGTACTTCTGTACTGACCTTAGCCTCACAGCTGGCATGTAAACCTCCTGAGTAGGAGCTGCCTGACCTTTAGAGGCAATGGTGAGAAGGATAAGTGCTTGCACACCTCATTTTTCCACTCAGGGGAACCTGTGAACTAGGGAATCTGTTCTCTCAGAGGTGCAGTAAGGCTGGTGACTTCTATGGGGAGGAACAGGCCATGGAGCAGCAAGTGCTCCCCACCCCTCTCTGACAACTGTTCATCATTTCAGCTCATAACCTGCTCGCAAGCTAATACAGGCTTTAAAATGATTGATGACTCATATGCAAGTGCTTTTTATTGAGGTAGGTATAGTCAGGGGACTGTTAAGGAAAAATAGAAACTCCTACTCTGCTCTTAGTCTCTTGCTGTTCTCTGTTTTCTCCATTTCTACAGACTCAAGAGCAATGCTGGGACTGCATTCCCTGATCATCAGTGATACTGCATGTTACACTGATCACCCTCTGTTTAAAATAATGCAAAAAATGGAAAATCAGAATTCAAATAAAATCAAATCCAGATATCTCATCATATATTGCTTTCTGTGACTTTTCCTGTGATGTTGGGTGTCCCAACTGGTCAGTCAGCATGGGGTGTGAGCCAGGGGGGTGGCAGGCAGCAAGCACTGGAAGCAGGGGGGAATTCAGGGTGTGCAGAGGAAACAGGGCATGTGATCAGCTCCTGGGAGAAAAAAGCCAGAGCTGTTTCGGTGGGTGCATATGGCCATGGGGTTTTCTCTAGTTCCAGCTCTTGTGCAACAGTGTTTGTTTTTACCTACAATTAACAGCCAACTTTTGAAAATAATAAGCCAAACCATGAGGCAAAAGGTTGCCTCATTATTATGAGTTCTTCATGCTGCCCAAGATCCCACCTATTTTTTCTAAGCAGAAAGTAATGTCCTTCTAGGGCTTGACTGAATGCCACTGCAATAGGCATATGGCCTTTATCTGCCCTTTTCCTGTCAGACTACAAGAGCTGAATCAGTTTAATACATGCTGCCACAGACAATTTATATTTTGCATTTGTTCAAAACAAGAAGTCATAGTTGTGTAGAGCAACTGCTAAAACAAAAAAATAAATTTAAAAATCCTGTATAAAAACACATTATATATTGAATTTAAGCTTCCACCATTTGATTTACAATTCAACAGCCAAAATATATAACAACAACCTCTGTGATGGGAATTGATTTCCATATGATGGGTTTTATGGAGCACTAAACATTACACTACTTGGCTAATTCAGTGCAGCCATCCATGGTGTTCCCTTTTGCTCTGCACAGCCCATGTCCTGCTCACAGCACATCATGCTAACAGACAAGAAAATGCCAGCAAAATAAAAGTCATCTTTTCAGTGTCTCACTTTTGGGGGTTCTAGTGCTTGCAGTCTTCAATCTGGTGACCGTTTACATTGTTGAGTTATAAACGGAGATTATCTTGACAAAAGCCTTTTTATGTCTGAGAGTTTCCATTTTTGTGTTGAAATACCAGTTGTCACCCTCAGACTTCATATTTTTTCATTCTATTAGACAGCAACTAACTTTTATCTAACACTGGGCACTGAAGTTACATTTTCTCTGTGCTGTGTGTGCTAAAGATCATTGTGAAAAACTGTCAGTAAATGCCTTACAGCTTTATTTCTACTTGGCAATTAAAGGGCCTGTCTTGTTTTCCAAATGGCTCTGGAAAAAGTTACACCTTTTTTGCCAAATTTATGCCTTATTACCCCTGCTGTTTAAAATAGTTTTTTTTTTCTGTAAGAAGGAAACCAGCTCCAGTTATTGGGTGGGAGAGGAATATTGAGTAGAGTGGATATTCCTCTACTTATTTCAAGTACATTTATTTCATTTCCCATGAAAGGAGCCTGCCTATAGGCAAGGTAGAGGGAAACAACTTTCCAGCAGTTGAGTTAGGCAATAAACATTTCATGTGTGAATGAAATCCACCAGAAGGTACCAACTGGGAAAGGCAGAGAAATATTTCTCCATTTGTTCTGAATTGCCATGTTCTCAAATGCTTGCTCCTATAAAAAGTAGGTCGTTATTACAACTTTGAAGTGAGCCATGGTACTTTCAATGCCCCATGTTGTGTTATGTCATGTTTACAGTTTGGTGTGGATTTGCTGTGGGGCTGTAGAGAGCTGTGCCCTGCGTGATAAATAGTACAAGAGAGGATCGGCTCCTCAAAATACCCTTCATGTGGAGAAGATACTGCTAGTAGTGGATTGGGAAGGAATACAGTGAATGACACTTCCAAATTGTATTTCTTCTGCAGAGGCAGTGGAAAGCAATGCTAAGAAAGACCGTAAGTAATTTCAGAACAGTCTCGCCCTGTATGGAGTCAGTGCAAGAAAGCATTTCAACACACAGTAAATTTTAACCACCTAAAGAAAGTGATTAAGGATATTATTTAATGCTGTCCTGAGTCAGGACTAGTATCTGTTCATTTAAATAAAATCAAAAATTCTGTACGCTGAGACAGAATGCAAAAGTGAAGGCAAACCCCAGTTTGATAAAAGATCTACAGGCCAGGCAGCCTTCCAGAGGGCAGGCATTCTCAAATGCCACTGCAGTTCAAGATGGAAAATATTTCCTGGATGCACCAGCTCTGTATCTGAGTTAGCCAACTCTGGGAAAAGCTGGGCTTATTTTTGTAGCAGCTGGGGGAAGAACAACTGTATCTATGGAGCAGGTAAACTCAAATGCAAACATATTTTTGTATCTTTTAGAAAAATTTACAGACTTGAACCAGAATGGCAGTTACTGAAATTGCTACACATGCAGCTCAGTGTGCTGAGTTCAGTGAAGTTACATACAGCTAATCTTGCAGGCAGCAGGGTAGCTCCTGCCATCATTACATGAAAATGTTGGAGGGGAGCATAAGGTCTGGCTGAGCTTGTTTCTTCAGCCATAGGATAATGTATTTCCATAACCTCTGCTCTGCTCTGCCTGACTGGGATATTTTATTCCTTTCAGTAGGTTTTTGCTCCTTAAGCTTACTCATGTGCTTTAACATTCATGCTTCTCTGGTTCTCTTGGTCTGGATTTCCTTTACTAGCAAATGCTGCATACTGATACTCATACCATCACTGAAATAAGCTTGATCTCATGAGTCCTGGATCATGTTGAAATAGTGATACTGAATGAATACATGTTTGCTACTATTGCTTTTTCTGGGAAAAATATCTTTCTAATAGCAACTTTTTCATGTCCCAGTTGAGTTCTTTAACTAAGATCTATCTTTCTAGTGCTCTCTATCTGTTGTTTAAAATATATCAAAACAACAACACCATAGCCAATTAATAACCTACAATCTTTTCATATTTGCTTTTCCTACTAATAGTCTTGAAGTACAGGTTTTATTTGCAATGTGCAGCTTGTTTAACCAAACCAAACTCTGTTCAAATAAAAATACCCCCATGTAAAATTTTCAGCTCCCCTGCAACAGCCTATAGAGGCAGAAAAGGCAGTTTAATAATTTTTGCTGGCCTGAAGCACTCGATTATTAGACAATTTGTTAACTCTTCTAATTCAGATACACAAAAGGGTGAGTAAGCAATAAAGCATTTCAAATCAATCCATCTGGCAGTAGGTAAAATAGCTGTAATGAGCAGCATGTTTACAGAGCACATTTCCTAGTCAGTCTAGTCATTTGCAGGATTCAGGCCACGGATGTCACAGGGTGTCTAGGAAG